TCCACCAAGCCCCCCCCCCCACCTCCCCATCAGTACGCCAGCATTCAGGGGCTCATGTCTTCTCACCCCTATAATAAACACACGCTTTCCCAGTAGCTCACATTATTTCCACGATATGCGCGTATCACTATTCTCAAATCCTCCTATAGGGCATGCGGAATGTTTAGAAAATTTAATTCCTGTTTACTTTTCTTTTCTTTGAATGGAATATAATTTTAATGTGAGTAAATTCAGCTTTTATTATCTTTTTGGTTATTTTAAACAATTTTTACTCTTTAACTGCTGATTTTTGTTCGGGGGTGGGGTGGGGGGGGGGGGGGGGGGCGAAAATGCACCCCCCACTTCTGGCGCCTTTGTTTACGATGCAGGGCCCTGATGGGCATAGACTATCGAGTGCAAGAAAATGGCGGTTGGGAGGGTGGCTAATTTGGGAGGTGGAAGGATTATGATAATGATAATAATATCGAATATTTTTTAGGAGCGCTATAAACAATAATTACCATAGCGCCTACAAATACGAAAATATGAAAAGGGGACAAAAAGTCTCACAGGAAGTAGGTCACAGGGGGGGGGGGGAGTAAGTTTTGAGGGATCTTTTGAAGGTGGCAAGACAGGTAATTTCCATTGTAGAAAGAGCCTAAGAGGGATACTGTTCCAAGTCTTTGATGCGGCTACTGCAAAACGTTTTTCAGCGGCTGAGAGTCTAGATTTGGGAATGATAAGTTTACATGTGTCGGTTGTTGAGTGAAGATTACGAGATAGTTTGGAGGGTGTCATAAAGATATTCAGGTGCCAAATGAAAGTTGATTATTGTGTATACATTGTGAGTAAGATAGACTTATTTTCGGGGAGTTTGGACTAATCGACTAGAATCTTACACTAAAGACAAATCAAATAAAATTTAAAAAAACAACGACGAAACAAAACAAAACAAAACAAATTAAAAAGATTTTAAAAAACATTACAAAATAAGATTAAAACTAAACAAACAAAAGAAATATGCGATGAAAAAGGGGGGGGGGGGAGATTTATGATTTTATGGCCTCACAAAAGGGTAGGGCCTTCAATCTACCCCTTAATTTTGTTAATACTTTGATGCCTTACAAATATCGCTAAGATTTTCTATTTTGACCCCCATAGGTAGGCCTATTCGACTAACTACTTCATTAGCCCTCTATACCTAATGTGATGATATTAATTACATTGGTGGGTTCGGCTGAGGGGGGGGGGGCGGTGTATGGGTGCATGTTCTTGGCCTATACCCTGCCCTTCACAGCCCTTGCTGCAACTTTACGTCCCCAAAGGCATTTACAATAAGTGCTTTTCTTGCCTGGTAGAGAATATTGAGAATTTTTAACAGCAAGTTTACAACAGTTGTTGAAAATCAATTCAATCATTTTCTTTAATTTTACTTGTTAGAAAACTTTGAACCTGTCAAACTGTACAACGTTATCAGTACTTAGGTTTCATCACATCAATACTTAAGTTGGTCAGATCATGTGAGGAGCATGGCTACTACATGTTTCAAATGGTGTGGTTTTATCCGTCGTACTGTCAATACTCGAAATCCAGAAATCCTAAAGAAATCCTTCTTTCTTTTTATTAAAGGGGAACTACCTCCAAATAATAAATGAAAGTATTCTAAAAAAACGAGATAAATTCCTGCCTTATGATGTACAATAAATTTTACGAATGGGTACAAGAGATATATAAATGAAGATTTCTGGGCATGATGTAATGCTTTTAGCATAACATTGGGCGCTGCCATTTTCTTGAACATGTGACGTAACAGGCGGAGTTGTACATGATTGTATCATGCGCCAAACTTTAATTGGAAATAACTTTTAATTCAATAACAAAACCTTTACTTTTCAATGAGGGAAAACCATAGCCGAGAAGGTAAAAATTGCATTTGGTGAAAAATGTATAGTTGGGTAACAATAAATTGTAACTCGTTTATTTAGAAATACTAAAATACAGCACCAACTTAGGCAATTGGAGTACAAAGGATAATCGCAGGTGAATGAAATGCTTCAACACCACAAACACCTGGGAATGAAGCATCCATAAATTTGAATACAGTTGATAAACGACTCGCATAGTAGGCCTACTTCATGCAATCAAGAAAATTGCGATGCCCATGTATTGCTGAGAAACTGCATTATTCTTGCTTTATGCCTTTTCCATACACTTTGGTGAGGAATCTTGTAGATTGATGGGCAAGAATGCAATAAATCTCTCTAAGGGTTAGTTCTCCTTACGTTACGACGTTTCTATATGATCAACATGTTGTATATTTGACATTTCACATATAGATTTGAAGATATATTAGTCGCAATTCGCAACGGCATATCAATTTTGCATTTTCATTCAATGTTTCACTTGTTTGTTACTGTACAAACCAGGCTTTGCCCGGTAACACTACTATTCCCCAGCTTCCAATTATTGTCTTTGTTAAATTATTCATCACCCATTATGTCCAGTGTCACCTGGTTCGAATTTCATGCTTGTAACAAATGAAATTGTGACCTTCTCTCAGCGCTGCAAAATTCCCCAACGACTAACGAATTATTTATTTATGCATAATATAAGTAACCCGAGCAACACCAGAACACTTTTCGTACGATCGTAAAGTATTGTGCCTGGGCGGATTAGTTACCAAGTATTTTTGATCTTGTGCAGTTATCTTGTTAGTTTTCTACACGCCAAATTCTTGTTAGTTCGCCATGAGTGATTTTTCATTCCAACCATTATCTAATGATGCGTTTCATGACTTTGTACTCACTAGAAGTATACAAATGAGTAGGCCTATGGAAAGGGGCGGCGATTTCTTTTCATGACCGGGGGGGGGGGGGGGGGGGAGGGACGACAAAATGCGAGGGACGAGGGAGCAGTGGCGTAATGAGCAAAAACGTTTTTTTGGGGCAGAACATATCCGCATCACCACCACTCTTACATGTTACGCAGTCCCTGAGAACGTTTTTCAAAGTGGGGGGGGGGGGGGGCCTAAAGTATTTGCGATCAGGTAGAGCAAAGCGAAGCAAAGTGGAGCGTAACATGGCGTGGGATCCAGGGTCAAAGCCCCGGCGGGTGTCAAGGGGCGGAGTCTCATGAAGCTCAGGGGTTCTAGGCATTTATTCATGTCAGATGAGCATCCTTGGGGCGGAGCCCCCGGAAGTTCAAGAATTTTATGCATTTAATTACGGTCAGATGAGCATATTTTGATACTTTATTTGTGACACTGGCAGGCAGGTCACTTATTGGAGTGGGGTCCAGGGGGCGGAGCCCCCAGAAGCTCAGGCGTTTTAGGCATTTGATTACGGTCAGATGAGCAACCAGGGGCCCGCCTTAGGGCCCTTGTTGGGGTCCAGGGGGCAGAGCCCCCCGAAGCTCAGCGAAAAATCATGCCATTTTGTAAATCACTGGTATCGAATTAGAAATAAACCACGTTTGAATTTCATTTTGGGGGAACTGCCCCACTGCCCCCAAGCCCCCCCCCCATCAGTACGCAAGTACGAGGGAGCAAAGTGAATGAGAGGGGTGAAGGTGACGGAACTGACTACCCCTCACAGGTTTTTGAAGTTATGTTGTATTAAAGAATTACATTCCTTGGCAAAACTATAGTATAAAAACAAGCAATTTACTTTTTTTCACACTTCAATTTTATCGGTATTTACTTGTACATTTCGAAGTATATTATGCGAGGGAGCGTAGCTACCGAGTGAGAAGATTTTTGCATTTTTTATTTGTCTAAACGCTGCACTCTTGGGCCCTCCTAAAAAAATGAGGGGGGGGGGGACGGATCGCCGCCCCTGCCTATGGATCATCATAGAAAATTAGAAACACTTCTTATTTGAACAGAAATGACAACTCGCTTTTAATATATAATAGGTAATTTTCGTAAATCAACCACGTCTTTGTGAAGTGCCTTAATACAAATTATTTCATTCACCTGATAAAAATAATAGTATTTCGATAGTCAGGATGCAAACTGCTAGGTAGGGCAATCCATAATATTTGTCCTACCTGATGGGAACAACTAAAGGTAACGTCTTTTTTAAACAACAACCAATGAGGAGAACTGTCTTTTATGGGCAAGTCCTCAAGCATTATTTTTTATTCTTTTTTTTTAAATTGTTATTATTATCAACATGTCTTAATTGTTATGCATGTTATCGTTCGATGTTGTGTTCCTGGAAATAAAATAAATAAAAATGTTATACAAATATATTTGGGACGTCGACGTGTACGCACGGGTGACGTGATTTTTTTTATTTAAAAAAAAAATTGTTATAAGGTGCTTTATTTCCTCAATACCAAAGGTAGTAGCCTACAAATAACCAAAATCATGAAATTTACATCATACTGAAATTACATCACATTCAAAATAATCAAAATACAATACAAAATCAGTAACATCAGTGCTAAACCAAACAACCCTCTTACATTTCCTTCTTTGTTTAAAACAATAATAGTAATAATGATAATGATAAAATACTTACTCATTTCATGTTCATTTTTTTTTCTTTCAAAAAAGCTTTATCTGTTCGAGGGGGTATATAGGGCCTACATGAAATATCATGATCTGTCAATAATTTTTTTTTTTTTAAATACAGTATTACTTCGGAAAAGAGAAAAACTCCCCCAGGGAGAGAGAAAGAGATAAAGATTGAAGAAAAAAAAACAGCAATCAGCAAAAAGACACAAGCAAAGAGAGACTGCTGGGATGCAGGGCTGGGAAGTTGCTTCTTTCAAGTGTATCTATATATCTCACACAAAACCTTCCAAGGCCTCCCATTTTTTTAAAGTGAATTTTAAGAGTATCCCTTTCCATTGCAAGTTTTTTTTTCTTCTTCTTTCCTCTTTTCGAGAAATTTATCCTTCACTTCACTTACATTTAAAGGCTCCCCCTTCTCTCTGCTATTAAAAATTATCAATTAACAATCAGAATGTTTACATTACAGTGACGACGACGCGCGGTCGATATGATATCTACGGTCGATTCGCGTCGTTTGGTAAACGAATTAAGATGGCGGCGACCATGGACATGTGAATCGTATTCCGACAAAAAAGTCTAATTTCAGAAAGCATATTAAGGTTGGGAATTCGAAGCTTGTCTATCAGTTTCACGTTGGAAAGTGAAACAAGTATTTAATGGTGAGTTAATTTGTATTGTTACTACATGTTCTAAACGATAAAAGAACATTGTTATTGGTCGGGTCGAGTCTATGCTTTCAAATATTCGTAAGTACAGTCCGACACAAAGGAGTTTACGTTAGTCATTTAGTCAAATCTAACTGTGCTAATTCAAAATCATAATTGACCCGTAACTCTGGCGTGGAGAAACCCTACTAAAACATACCAAAAAATCAATTGTTCAAATAATGGTCATGATTTAAAAGTCGTTATGTTTCTTACCTGTTTGAGTGTTTCATAACAATTTTCTTATCTTTTTTGGAGTAGACTTTCTAGGATCTAGTCTATTTTTCCTAAAAACAGAGACTTAGAGAGTAAAGGAGCCCGTAATCGGCCAGCTCCAGTTTTCGGCCGATTGGTTGGATGCAAGGTAAAATCACTCTAAAATACATCGCATAATAGCATAACACATATCCCACACATACCATACCATGCCAGTGTCACTGAAGAACCACATTTGCAATGGAAAATATATCCTAAAATATCACATTTTAGCGATGTAATCGCCGGTCCCGCTACCCAAATCTGACAAATCGAGTATCTTACCCGTGTCTGTAAGAAATATGGGTACCATAAAATGAGCTTTATTTCAAGTATTTTTCAGATTTAAAGCCTGATTTTGTGCTAGTCGCAAGCTCAAAAGTATGTCATCGCATGTATTAAATCAATGCAGCCGCACATCGCGACGCACACACGATATCTCTTTCTAATTCAGATTCCAACTTCCGATCACCGCTGTGCCTGTCTTCGGCCAGGCGAGCACCAGGGAGCTCCGGCGTGGGATACCTGCTCCGCCCGCTTGTGCTGTACATCAGCGCGGAAACGCACGGCGCGCGCGAGCGCTTCCTATTGACTTTGTACATGCGGCCGTAAACTGAAACGCTCGGCCGATAACGGGCTCCAAAACAGTGAAAATTGAAATGAATATTGTCATGGCAATTCGTGATTTTTTTCTGGGATTCTTTTTTTGTTTAAATAATAATAATATTTGCTTCATGATTTAAACAAGAAATGATAATAAATAGGATGTAAAGAGTCCTAAAAATAGGATTTTGTCTTAAGTGGCCGAAAACGGGCTCCTTTACTCTAGTCTAACCTAGACCGAATTTTCCGTCTCTTTCGTTCGTTAGCCTCTTATTGGGGTAGGGTCGGCTCTCTCTTTAGAGACGGAAACCGTCTATACACATTCCCTTGATAACGCCACGGCCATTTCAGGTCGTAGCGTTTTGCCCCCAAAATCCCCCAAAATGTCATTTTACCTCGTGCATATCCACATGTAAATTAGGCCTAGGCTATAATACATCGGTTCCACTTAACAACTTGACTGAAATAATCAGTTTAATAGTCCCTTTTTAGGAAATTATGGGTCAAAATCGAAATCCATTTTGAAAATCTTTTTCAACAAAATTCGGTCTAGTCTAGACCTAGACAACAATAACCATCTGATTTGGGTCATTTCTTTAATAAAACTGACATTTGTTGTCATTCCCCAATACAGATGGCAACCCAGAGATCTCGTACCGTGGGGCAGGCTATGTACATATTTTCGTCCACGACATTTTCTCCCCGATTTTCTTTATTTAGATCTAATTTCCTGATTTCTAAATCAGATGTAAATTAGGTCGGTATGTCATTTGTCCTAATTACAGTTATCAAAATTTGATAACTCAATATTAAATGGATAAATTACGGACTTACTTATGTGAATTATCCAATTTGTATCTCCGAACGTTCATGCACTCGGAACATAGGGCTATATGACCCGGCGGCCAAAATATTTCCGGGTCAACCTACCAAAACATAGCCAAATGGCCAATCAGAGCACTCGTTTCGTGGGAGTTCGTTGGTCAAGCTGGGCTTACCCTACGTAGCTACGGTAGCTATTGGACGTTCGAAAAGAAAAAATGAATATTCATCAACTAACACCAAGACGAATAATGTTGACGACGAGACTTTCTCGGATTAATCATTAATTTAGGATCTAAATGAGCAAGCTATCGTAAGTCAAATAAGCTATATATATGTTATTTTTAATTTGTGTTATAATTACAGCAGTTATGAGGATGTAAAGAGTGAAAATCTCGTTGCATATCTCATTCATCGCGGTCCGGTCGAACCGAACCATTTGTTCTGTACAGTCCCGTACAGTCCCGATGGGACATACTTCAGTCTCTATAATCGAAGGTCTAGTGGAGCCAAACGTAGTCTCAGTGGAACAACCGACGATTAGCAGAGCTGCCAACTAGTACGGATTTCCCGTAATTGGTACGGAAATTAACGACCATTACGGAATGTTGTTTAAAATTACGGATTAAAAAAAAAAAAAAAAAAAAAAAAAAAAAAAAATTTTTTTTTTTTTTATTTATTTTTTTTATATATTTTTTTTCCCCCCATTTTTCCTGGAAGACTGTGTTGTGATGATATGAAACTCATTATTTAACAACTTTGTGTGAGTAAAATCACCAAAAATGTCAGATAATCATGTGTCTGTGCAATGTTGGCGTGCCGTTTTTATTAGAGTCATAGCGCCGCATAGGAAATTACTGATTTATACCCAAAATTACTGATTTTGAGCCTTGTGATTACTGATTTTCGGTTCTGGAGGTTGGCAGCTCTGGATTAGAGAGACTGAAGCTTTCGGTCTAGTCTAGACCTAGCTAGGCAAATTCATGCAAAAAAATATATTCAAAAAATTGACTTGAAAACACATCAGACAATTAGTCTGAACCGAGTCAGGAGCAGATTTGAAGAAATTATATTTTTAAATGTTGTAAAACCAAAGATTTAAGAAGAAAACTGACCAAGTATCTGTACTAAAAATCGTACATGTAAAATTGGTCGTACACATTCGACAGCTGAAAACGGTTGCGTTACGTGCGTTCTCGAATCCAAAATCATACCTCACACACACACTCTCGCCATACCGCGAATGGTCCGTCGTGGGGAGCTAGCCGGCTGAGAGTTTGCAGCGATACCAACGCAGCGCGCCATTTTAGCGGGACTCGAAAAGGTTCATGGTGGGAAGGCAGCGGCCTAGCTTTTTGCCCAAACAACGCTAGATCGGCTGCTGGCAAAATGAAAATAACTACGATCGAGAACATCGTCGGTTTCTTAACTTTTCAGTGAGATAATTCTGAATTCTAATTGAGACTATATAATAAATTAAATCGACAAAGAAACCTCGGTAGAACTCTTATAACTGTACAAAAGCTTGTTTATTTCTTCATTTGACATTTTGTTTTCAACCATTTTTTCGTGCGCGAGTCAATGCAAACTGTGTATTACCAAACTTTCAACACGCAAGGAACGGGGAACACTCGCGGACCTCGTATCAAATTCGTTGCAAAAAAAAAATTCAAGGGTGATTTTGAAGCAGTGAAGAATATTGGCGCTGCAATGCGCAGAAATATACTTGAAAGAAACTTAAAAAATCATACCTGAATTTTCAGAAAGTCGTATTTGTATTAGTGTACCTAGATGTGACTTGTTTATAACTCAGATTTTATGAAGATTTGTCGGGAAAAAATGTCAATTTTTTCCGTTTGGTGGTCATTTCTAGGCTAATATTTTAAAAGTTACTTCAGTAATGGTCCCGATGTTTCTTTTATCATACTCGCATGTTATTTCTACATACATGTAGATTAAACATAGGATGGTTAAGGGTAAGACCGGATAACATTATAAAAAAGATATATCCTTCCAACCTCCCATATCCAAGTTTTGGGCTGATTATTGCCGACCCACCGCAGCAAGGCCATTCAGATTTTCGTACGCGACCGAAGCGCCCTCTAGTGCCCCATGAATGTGCCTAACCTAGCGAGAGTCTATAAAAACTTTCTCACAGGATTCACTGCAAAATGCTGCACAATACAATTGCATACCGCACCAACGGTATTGTGAGGGCGCGCGGGTGTTCGTGAAGTAAGCGACCAGAATGATGAATTACTCACATGAATTTAATGAGGATCTGAGATTACAGTCGCGCCCGCACCCCATCGCCTTTCCGCCGGTACGCTATACGGTTTGCATTGTAGTGTGCAGCTGTTTGCCATGAAACCTGTGAGAATGTTTATATTATGGCCAACCGTATTCAGCTATGTTCCGCCATTTTCTAATTTTAGGTTTTTTTTTCTTCTTCAAAATGCATTTTAGGTTTTGTTTACCTGCCTCTTAACGCAGGGGTATACTATGGGTGCCAATTAAGGCTAGATGATTCAATATCATACATCATATTCTCACCTAGCCCTTTAAGCTAGGTTGTCGCCAACATATCGGCTAACTTTTACAGTGACTTATGGCTTTTATGCGGCCAAAAGCTAATGCCAAGAATTTGAAATTGATTTTGATATTACCATTGTTACATATTCATAATTATTTAAAATATATCTGCACATGTGTATTTGGTATCAGTTGGTGAATAGGAGATTAAATAAACCATCACAGTCATTGGTAAAACGTAGTTGTTTTTTGTTAATATTGTGATGTTTTGTGTGTTTGTGTGAGATAAGAGGGATAATGAGTCAAACATGTAGAACCCTTTCGGAATACCATGGCAACTCTTTATTTTATTATTATTATTTTTTATTTTGAAACACGTTTTTGGGTAAGCATGTTTATCCATCCTGCCATCAAGTTGATTTTAATAATCAAATGCAGTTCTCTTTTTGAATGGGTCAGTGAAAATTTAGAGAAATCTAATGAACAATATAATGGTTATGGGTATATGAAGTTTCAAGTTTTAAAATCCCTGCATACTTTGGCAACTCAATGATATCCATTGTAGACTAATCTCCATTTGTTGTGCACTGACAAATTAATGTATAACAAATTTTAAATATTTTTTTATTTCTATGTCTTGTATTGATAGATGAGTGGCAGTCAGAAAGGCAAGAGTTTTGCTCCTACAGTGCAGCAGCTGAATGCAGATTTCTTGACACAGCTTGGCAGCCGATTCTGGGCTCCAAACAGCCCTACACCACACATGCCCTATGACCCGAATGTAAGTCAATTCAGATATAATTGATGACAAGTAGAATAAGGCCAACTCATTAATGCTGTTTATAATATGGAAACTTGGAAAGTGCTTGTAAAAAATGTTTGTCCTGTTCCATCTGCCAACTTGAATAATACTGATATCATTATATAGGGGGTTGATTTGGGTTCTGTAAAATCAGGAACTTTGGAAACATTAAACTTTGCAAATTTTTAGTGACAGATATTTATATGGCTAGATTTTTTTTATGAATTCAAAATAGTCCATGGTGATGTTGTGATTTACATTGATTATTTAATTATTTTTTTAATGAACCTCAACATGTAGCAACCTGGGAGTACAGCAGTCTGCTTCAAGGGAACATGTCTTGAAGTGATTTTCTGAGGGATAAAGTATTATTCGTTCAGAATAAGATTTCCGTACTTTGTTTGTCAAAGAGAAGTTCGGGGTACATGTTCAAGATGAGTTTTTCAGGGCCTGTGGATGGTAGTCCGCATTGTCTCGGAGCAAAGGGAAACTCTTCAGTGCAGCTATGCTTTTAAATATTTTTTTTAATTTTTTTATTTTGTGTGTGTGTGCTGTCCTTTAAAGTATCCTACAGGCATCTCACATCGGCAATTTGGGGATGTTTATTGGTTCATCAAATACACCAGTCATGATGAAATAATGCATATTCAACCAATGATCCATACAATTTCTTCCTGTATGTAGGAACTTATGAAAATTAGCAAACCTCACCCCCCCCCCCCCAAAAAAAAAAAAAAAAAAAAAATCCCAAAAATGCATTTTCGGGGTGAGAAGTACTTATCAATCAAAAATGCAATTTTTGTCAGTAAAATACAAATTTTGAGATTAAAGAATACAGTTTTTGAACTCAAGAGGTTGGCAGGTCTGCCATAAGTACAGTTTAAGGAATGTAATAAGTAACATTTCATACAAAAATTACATAGTTTTTTCACCAACCTTCAACATTAAACCGAGTCACTTTAAAGGGACTTTGTAACATTGTTCAGATGAGAGATAGTGGTGCTAAGGTAGTGACTCCAATGTTAGATGTACAATTAAAGATAATATGAAAATTTGAGCGAAAACGGACCATTATTCATGGTACAAATTGGGAAAAACTGATCCGATCGATTCCTTAATTCTTCCAACTATAATATTACAATTTAATTACATTTTAGGTGAATGGAAATCTCACAAAGCAATAAAATGGCTCTACATTCCATTCCAGACATTTAAGTGTTGGCAGATTTTTTATAGCCTATTTTTATGTCTTTTTTTCATGGAAAAACGGTTGGGAAAATTCCAAAATGGTTGGGAGAATTTAGATTCAGAAGCACTGCACATTTGAAACCCCTTGAACAATAAAAATCTTCATATTGCGTGAATTAATTTCGGATTTGGGGCATCGTAGTTGGATAATCCATACATACAAACATAATTTTACGTGTTTTGCATCCTGATTCAACAGATTTGTGAAATCAACCATCACAATGTTACTAAGTACCTTTAAAGAGAAGGTTCATTGATTTCAAAAACTAACTTTAATGTCATTATTGCAAAGGTGACACTTTGATTGGCCAAGGTTATCAAAAGCCAATGCTTGGAAACATTCAAAGTAATGATTATTAACAATTACAAAACGCTTAGATACAGCCCCGACATAGCGCCTGAAAAGCTCCCCATCGCTGTTGAGATATGACGTCACATGTTGAACATGATGTGCACAAGCAGACGATGTCCCATGACATCTCACACAATTTCAGTGCCTGTTTTGTCATCTTTTCTTCAGTTATTTCTCTTACTTCAATACCCTCAGGCGAAATGTTTAATCTATTGCCTCACTCTAATACCCGTGCATGGTATTATTTTGATGAAAAATGCGAGGATTAGAAAAAAAAGGGAAACCGTCGCTTGTAAACAAGATAAGACGCCATTGTATTTTCAGCTGCATAGACCGCGGCATGCTCGGCGTTTCAAGAGGGAACAAATGACGTCCATGCTATCATTCCGGAGGTTTTTTAATTTGAAAGTGTGGTTTGTTTGATTGTTCATTTACCCCTATCCTGTGTATTTACAAACAAAAGAATTTAGTTATCAGTATGGGGTCATATCCCTTTTTGAATAGTGTAAAATTCCTTCACATGTACATACACTAAACTCATTATTATTTGAGAAATAAAAGCATTGCAATTATGTTCATTCTTTATGGGATGTCGTCTGCTTGGGCAGGGTTGGTTCATAATGTGACGGCATTAAAACATCGTTATTTTTCCGGCGAATCTCTCGCATATTCCAGATGCTATGGAGATTGTTTTATTTGTAATTTTATAAATAACCCGATATGTAGATGACCTAAAACTTGCACGATGGCCATCTGTTAGCATACCACTTTCTATTAATACGCTACTTGCCATATTTGTGATTTTCTATGAACCCGCACTTTAAAGAGAAGGTTGAGTCCTGGGAAGAGGTAAAAAATAATTTGTGAGCATTATCATTGTATTATAATGCAAGTGTAAAAGAACATCTGATACACATTTTTTCCTGAAAAGCAAGGCTCTTCAAATGCCTTAATATTCTAAATATGGCAGTTAACATCATAAAGATCGGGACAGATTTTAATGCCACATGGTCGTGTTGTCCCATATATACATCTTTTTGTGTACAGCGCTTGTAACTTTACCAAGACTGGGCCAAATTTCTTATCATTTTGATGATTCCAGTACCTTGCAGTACACACCAATAAATATGCTAGATGATCAACCTTTTTTGATCGATTCCACAATGTTTCTTTCACAATGGAATCGCATGAACAGAACTCAGTCTTATCTTTAAGAGTATAGTGTGTATACAAAATGACTTTTTCCATCAAAAGGAATTTAAAAATAGCTGTCTTCTTTTCAGCTTGAAGACGGAAGAATGAATTACAAAGAGAGGGGATGACAAACCTAATATTCCTTGATACTGTATGTCATCTCGGAGGTTGATACAAAAAAAATTAAATGCTCTATATTTTCATGGCATCTTTTTTACATCTCCATTGTATTATAATATGTGTATACCATGCATTTAATGAGAGGTATATTTTTCATTTCGTAGGTGATTGAAGATGTCTACAAGAAAGAACTCCTGAAGAACAAGTAAGATGAATTTCACTCTTCTAACAATTTGAGAATTTCTTTTAAACATGAGATAAAATGACTTTATCTTAATTTGGTGGTGTATAGATTGTCACAACTGTTAAAGGTAGAGTGAATTATTTGGAGAACAAAAATAAATAAATAAATAATAATCTGGCCACCTCGCTGCCCTGAAATTGGAACTTTAAAAATCCTTGGCTGTAATCAAACATAAGATTTTCAACAATTTTTTAAACAACATTGTACGGGTTAAGTAGTTTTTTTATTAAATTCTTTCTCAAACCTTAATTTATTCATTAATTTTGGATCAGGATTTTTCCTCTCTTTTATCTTTCTTATTTTTTATCTGAATTTTTTGTGGCCCTTCAAGTGCACATACTCCCCTGCCACCCCATAAATGGCGATTGAGACCGAGATAGTACTGCCGATCATTAGAACAGATGACTTTTAAGAAGACCCAAGAAAAAGAGACGGATTGGAGAAAGATTTTACTCTTCTAATATTTTAATAAGCAACTGTGGAATCATGTACGTGCCAAAATAAATTTAAATTAAGGAACTAATGCAAGAAAATAATAACACATTTGAATAACACAAAATAACAAAAGTAACAAACATGTTTAAAATGCAGTGTTTTAAATGTGCCAGCCCTGATATCAATGATTGCAAGTTACTATCCTCACTTTCTATTACGAGTATTACAATTCAATATATACTGCTATTACATTTCCTATTTTGTTTTTTGAAAGCTGATGATAGAAGCCTTTTGTTTGACATTGCTTGAGTGCTTATTAAATCTTTTACTTCTAATCTATGCTTAGGTTTGCTGTACGTCGTATCATGGTGCTTGAGTTCAGCCAATACCTGGAAAACTACCTGTGGCCAAACTATGACTCTGAAAAGGTAATACACGAAGGTCTGACAAATAAGAATTTGTATACCTTTATATAAATTCAGTTTTGAAAAGTATCACGCCTATATCATTTATTGTTGGTTTAAAGTTCAGTTAAGTATTACAGGCCTGATAAACGGTTTCCATTTTTTTTTTCCAGATTTTTTTTTCTTCCCGATTTTACCCCTTTTTCCAGATTTTCCCCTTATATTCCCTATTTTTTACCCCTTATATTCCCTATTTTTTACCCCTTTTTCCAGAAATTTCCCCTTATATTCCCTATTTTTTACCCAATTTTCTTACTCAAAAGGAGGGGGGGGGGAACTGTTGTTAGATGCCATTCCCCCCCCCAATCCTTTTTTTTACTCAAGGGGGAGGGGGGGGGGGGGGTTAGGATAGTGAGCACTAAAAAAAAGGGGGGTGAGGACCCCCCCCCCCCTTTTTTTTTAGTGCTCACTATCACCCCTGGTATTAAAGATAAGGAAAGAAAGTGCATGAGAAGAGATCAATGTGAAAATATTTATTTTTGTAATAATATTGGAATCTATAGCATTCTATTTTGATGTGCATTCTCAAGTACATGTATACATGTCATGTGTTGTTTGTTCTGTGTGAACCAAAAGTAAAAAGGGAAGAGCAGCATGATTCTTAGTTTGATACTTTTGTATTGAATTTAATTCCTGTGAAATGATTGATATATTCCATAACAGTCTGATCCCATGCCTTGCAAATATACATTTTGTTTAAGCCTGTTTATTCTGTGATTGAATACAGCACTTCATGCATTATACCTAGGTCAAGAGAGGCAAATTAAAAAATACACAGGGCAAGGATTCAAAGTCATATTCACATACTCATATTAAGCTACTCATGAGGGACCTTAAATCCACAAGCCTTACTTTCAACCAAGGTCACCTCATCTTTCTTTTGTAAAGCCATATTCTGTTAACTTGTTATATTCAAATTTGTAAAGTGTGATATGAAAGAAAGATAAATAAAACTTGAACTTGAAAACTTGAAAGTCAAGGGAGAAGTAATGTTACATCACAATTCTTCCATATTATGCCATGAACATGTAAGGGTAGCACTACCGGTATATTGTGAATGTGATAAAGTTCTAAGCCAAGTAATTAATGCACTTTTATTTTTATTTTCCAGTCCACCTCCAGTCATCTGATCTCTATTGCTGTCATGATCAATGAGAAATTCAGAGAAGGAGTGTCAGCTTGGGAGGTGAGATTATACTCGATACGAAGGAATATATCTTTATTTGCAGTTTGACGAATCAAATTGAAAGTGCAAAGTGAATTACATGAAATATGGAAAAAATAATAAGTTATTTAAAAAAATTGTTCCATGAACTGCTTGAGTTGAAAACCTGGGGTGATATTCTGAAAATTCTTGTATCTCAAATATTCTTGTATCTTCCTACATAACAAAATTGGTATTCTGAAAATTCATGAAACTTTTCTTGTAATGTTTCTTTTTCTTTACCCCCTGCTCAAGTATTGCTCGCACAGTTTGAGCATGAAGGAGATAAAATGGTGCATAAACCTAATTTACAGGCTTGTAATGATCACTCACGTTATCACGTTTTTGAGTACCTTTGTAGAACAGGCTATCTGATCTACAAAGTGTTGGGTTTGTGAAAAAAGCAACAAATGATCTCTGGCAGGTTTTCTAAATTTGAAAAGCAGCAAGTTTCCTGACAACCTTTTTTTTTTAAAGTCTGCATGATTTGTTAAATCATACAATTAAAAACTTTGTGCGATGCCTCTTGCTGTAGTATCTTGATACTACCTAAATACTTGTACAATATTTGTGTGACAACACTTATTCATCAACGCCAGTCAATGGAAGAAGTAGGGGTGTATGAAATGTTAACGCAAGCTCTGTGTATACATCATTTCTATACAGGTGCTCATATTGTTTATCTCTAGTAATAATGTGCCCTTGCACCTAGTTAACTGAGTAATAGTCTTCTTCATCGTCAGGTGACAAGGGGTCTTTGGTCACTTTGTTTTCCTTGTAATTGCCCACCGGGTAATAGTACTCGTTTTCATTGTCTTCTGAATCCGATGATGTGTTGGTTCTTGAATCACTGTTCAGCTCTTGCTCAGGGTACTGGTACTCATGATAATCAGCCAGCTTCTGTCTGAAGTGCAGTTCATCGTAGTAATCACTGTGTGTGCCATCATCAGATGTCTTTGAAGACCTTTCCATTCGATCTGGATAGTAAGCACCTTCACCCAAGATGTCGTAATGGTTATCGTCCATGCCTTCAAAGCACTTCACATCGATCTCATCAATCAGATCCAAGCTTTGGCACTCTTTGACAGCATAGATGACACTTTCATGAGCAGTTTCATGTTGTTTGGTTGAGTTCTTGGCACATCTTTGAGTGGTCTCTCCTTCAGTTGCATTCACCAGTGTGTAATCATCGTCTTCATCAGACATGACAGCAACAGCACTGTAATCGCTCCCAAACAGGTCTACCTGATCATTACTGCCTCGATGGTCATAGTTTAGAAGATCATACACCTTGTCCTCTGCTATTGTACCAGAAATATCTGGCTCCAAATCATCTTGGCCTTTAAGAACAAAGTAGTCTTGATCCATCCTTTTGTTGCCCTCTACCTTCTTTGTCATGTTGGTTGTTGTACTGTTGTTTAACAGTGGTTTGGGGTATTCGTATTGGTGGTAGTCAGCCAGTTCCATTCCATCAATATGGATCTCGCCATTATATGCCTTTGCTGATCTTTCCATTCTATCAGGAGTGTGTATGATTTCACTAAGAACATTGTAATGGCTGACAGTCACTGTGTCATGGCATTTTGAATCTTTCTCATCAAGAAGACTAAGCACCTGGTACTCATCTTCTTTAGGGATATTTGTATCTTTTCTATTTCTTGGTTTGATCTTTGCTTCATTTCCATGCACCAGCGTGTTGTAGTGGCATTCATGGAGTATAACAGTAGCTACGTCGTAATCACTTTCCCTCAGTTCTTCCCGGCTGTTACTGTGGCAATGGCCAGGGTTGAGATGATCATAAACCTGGTCCTCTGCACCTGCTGTGGATTCCCCAGTCCAGGGTTTCCCATCATTCTCCGCATCAGCCGACTCAGAGACAATGTAATTGTGGTCTCCTTCTTTGTTGTCTTGAAATTTTGAGGATGTGTTGGTTGGTTCACCACTGGCCAGTGGTGGATTATTGTATGGGTATTGTTCATAGTCATCAAGCTCCACTCTGGTGTACACAGGGTAGTCGTAGTTCTCATTCTCATGCTGCTTCCAATCTTTCTTATCAACAAAACCAATATTTTGGTAATCCAGTCCTACCTCATACCCAGTTTGGAACACGATTTCATTCGGTGTGGTTCTTTTCTGGCTACCTATTGGAGTGGACTTTGCCACAGTTCCGTGCACAAGTGTGTCGTAATGGACGTCGTCTGATATGACAGCAGTGGCATCGCAAACGTCGTTGTACAGTTCTTGCAGATGGTTCTTTGTACTTGTAGTACAGCCACGATTCAAATGGTCCAATGCCTGTTCCTCTGCAGTTGTAGTAGCAACACAAGATAATTGTTGCCTAAACGTGTCCATATCATCAAGCTCTTCAATAAGAAATGGGTCCTCATCTTCGTCCTCTTCTTGTGTTCTTAGATCCTTGTTGTCTGCATGCCCTACAACGAAAGGGTGTTCCGTCCCATATCCAAGGTATTCATCCTCCTGTATTTGGCTTCTAGGACCGTAAGGACTGGTCAAAGGTGATGAACAATGTTGAGGCCGTTGGCCGTTGCTGACACATATGTCCAAGATGACATCAGGTTGCCTGTTACTCACATCACAGGCAGAATAGGTGGCATTGATGTAGACATTGTCTCCAGAGTGTTTTCCGTGATCTTCAGAACGCTCATTCTGCCATGCCATCCTGTTTGAAGAGATAGAGTAATGAAGAGGGAGTCATAATGAAATGTGTTATGTATAGTCTCATAACCTTCTACTTGCATTAATTCAGAAATACACATGGAGGATATTATACGTTCAATGTGTCATTGCAATGTTTCAAAAAGAAAATAAGTCAATGAAAAGAAAACATGTATTTCATCTACCAGTAATCCACACTTCCATGAATCTTTGATTATCATAATCCTGCACTCACAGAAAACAAACCAAACCCAAATTTATGTTTATTGTGTTAAAGATAGATTTACAACATATTTTTCGATTCTCTTCAGATATTCTTGATAGGGTTAATGATCACGGTCAAAAAGATTTTAAAATCTATTTGATTCTCATGATTTTCTGCCATGTACCTGTGGTGTCGTCGTAAAATCAAGATCACTGCTGGGACTATGGCCAGAAGTATGGCAACTACGACGACCAAGATAACGGTTTTATCTGTACCACCTGCAAGATATGAATACGAAAGAACCTTGGTGTGATTAAGGCTCATTCAGTTATGAAGGGGAAACCGCCGCAAAAATCTAGAATGGCAGCTACTCATTACAAAGGTCCTACACATATTCATGTAACTTTGTGTTTGAGATACAGAAATGTGAAGTGTACATGTTTTACACTTTGCATTGTCATTTGAAGAAAAAAATGTTAACACCAGAATCAAGACATACCCAAACTTTACATTGGAATTAATTTAGTCAGCAGTGTATCACATTTTTTGAATTAATTTTTGAACTGCAGGCCATGAAATGCAAGGAATTATATTATATAATTTCTATAACTTTAAGACTGTGAAGCAACAGCAACAAGAAGATCAAGAATAGCAATTGGGAAGCTATTATTTCACAAGTAGGATTCTGGTAGGAAAAATGAATTTGAAGAGAATAATAAATATTCATGTTTTCCTCATCCACATCGCGAATAAGTAATGACAACGTTAACAAAATAGAATTAATCATTGAAAATGTTTTCATAATTATGTCACTTGAAAATTAAACTGATGTGGGAACAGGAAATGAACGTGTAAATCATTGCTGACAAAATATGCTTTGAAAAAATGAAAGAGAGAGAGGACAAATCTTTTACCTTTTGGTTTGCCCTCTTCCAACAATACTGAAATCGAAGAACTTTGAACCACGCCTGCAGTTGATTCCACTATACGATCTGTTCCTGATAACGTGGTGTGGATGTAATCTGGCGAGGTCATCGATTGTGTGTCTGATATTGAAGTCGACGTATCTGTCGAAGTCATCGGTGTTGAATCTTTTAGTGAAGTCGCCTTTGCTATATCTTTCTTAGATGTTGAGGTTGGTAATGTTGAACCTGGTATGAGAGTAGGTGTGTCGGTCATGTTTCGATACGACGAGGTTGATGATGTCGAACCCACCATCGGTGTCAAATCTTTTAGTGAAGTCGACTTTGTTATATCTTTCTTAGATGTTGAGGTTGGTAATGTTGAACCTGGTATGAGAGTAGGTGTGTTGGTCATGTTTCGATACGACGAGGTTGATGATGTCGAACCCAGTGTTGAACCTGGTATGAGAGTAGGTGTGTCGGTCATGTTTCGATACGACGAGGTTGATGATGTCGAACCCAGTGTGGATATATGTGACGGTGAATGAGTAATGGACATTGTCTGTTTCGAAGAACTTGGGAGAGATTCTGTGTGGGGATGAAACAAGAATGAACAGAAAATCTTCAAAAGGACTAAGTGAAAGTTTTTTTCTTCAAATATTTCAAACCTGCCTTAGTTTTTTGTTTTAATACATATTATTAAATCATTGCAATATAAAAATTTGACTAAAACTTTGCTAGTGCAGGAAAAAATGTAAAGGGAAATAGGTTAAAAAATCCTGGTGTAGAACGAACACATTCTCAGTGATTGTAATATACAATATTTACTATTAATTACTCTCATTATTACTACTAGTATCATTACTACTATTATCATTACTATTATCATCATCATCACCCCCATTATGAAAATCATCACTACTAATATTAATATCATTTTTATTCAATCATAATTATTAATATTTTTCTTTTTAATCTCAGCCTGATCAAAATACCTGTTGTCACTGGGAAATCTTCGTACACGTCAATATTGGCAATACAGATATCAGGCTTCTGACTACCTCCCAAACTCACTGCTTTGAATGATATCTTGTAGGGAGAACAAAAAAAAGGATTGAATAGAATGATTAATAAAGTCAAATGAAAAAAGGGTTTTAAAATTCATATTTTTTAGATAACAATAATAAATGACACGAAAT